GTGGACCTTTTTGCAGTTATTCGCCTCATTTTCTGTCTAATTATGAGGTTTAAATACTGCATTTTAGTGACATTTTATGCACTTTTTGTTTAAATAGCTCGTCAGATGGTCATCAGAAACAAACCTTTTATTAACATATTTAAAATACTTATTTATTACATGATTTATCATTAAGAAAAAAAAAATAGGATTCATTACATTTTTAATTAAAAACTGTAGCTTAATTAAATTTATTAGGCAAAATATTCTGGCCAGCACATTTAGCTTTCTTCTGTTAGAACTTAAAATACAATAACAATAATAGTATCAATGTAGAGCTTCACAAATTTTTATAGATTTTTCTCTTGTAAAAAAATTCAAAGCCTGATTAATATTAAAATTAACTTTAATATGGACCGCTTTTGGTGCTTCACACCTTTTTATTGATCTGTTTTTCCATATATAATGTCCAAAATTTAGAATAAAAGTTACTTGTAAAATGTTTTCTCTATTTACCAACAATACAGTAGGGTCAGTAGTGAAAGATGGCTTTACTTTTTTCAGATTGTATGTTTTCTTGCACAGATGTTGGACTCATGAAAGAATATTGGTTTGCATTGGCCAAAACCGATTAGTTGAAATCACGAATGGATTCCGTTTGGTCTTTGGATGGGTTATTTTCACAATTTATGATGGAAAAGCAGTCAAAACAGGACAAATCAGCCAATGTGGGACAAATTCTGGACCCTTGTCAGTAGGGGTGGGTCTTTCGAGCCACCAGAACCACATCACTGCCTGTGAAGTGGGTCTCAGATCAAACAAGAAGCCCGGCGTTAAATTCCATTTCCCCCGCCATGTCTTTAAATTATGACAGTTTATTTTACTCCTGTTCTATTAATGGAGTTTCTGCGCTCGCCTGCTGATCCTGACATCTCGTTTAATGCTTGAACAAATAAATGAATGCTTAACTCTATTTAACTGAATGTGTTGTAATCACATTACAATATCAATGCTGTAAAAGGAACCGTTTGAAATTGAAAATAGTTACATTAAGCTGTCAGCGGAAATTTATCATTGGCTGAAAAATAGCTGTGCTGGTAGCCCATTACATGTTTCTGACAATTTTAAACTGTTTTTATTTTGCATTAAATAAAAAGTTATCGTATAAATGTATGGAATACATCGAGGGTGAGTAAATGATGTGTATATATTTTAATTTTTGGGTAAATTTTTTCCTTTAACATCTTTTATTAAAAGAATAGTTCACTTAAAATTGCAGATTTGCTTTTAATTTACTCACTCTCAGGCCATTTATGATGTACAGATTAAAAAAATTTGTTTTGTTATTTTTATACCTGGAATCATGGTCTATAATGCATAATATTCAAATGACAACACACTACGCGGATGGTCTTAAACTTAATTCCTGGAGGGCCGCAGGTCTGTATAGTTTACCTCCAACCACCTCCAACTCACACATGCTTAAAGCTGCGGTCACACTTCACTTTTCTCCCCATAGACTTCCATTCATATGCACGTTAATGCGTCAGACCGAAAACGCAACGTTCGATACATTGGAAAGTTCAAGCTCGTTGAACTCTGACCGGCGAAATCGCATCACTTGACTGCGTGAAACCAATCGAGAATCAAAATATGACCTCTTTGTACAGAAATTTGAAACATGGCCCAATCGCTCACTTTTTTAAATGTCTAATCATCTTGTATATGCCGCCCCTTTCCGCAGCGCCGTACGACAGAATTTTGCACGCTCAAACTCTAGTGAGACTGCGGCATAAGAATTCAATGTATAATCAGGAGCAACAGGTATTAATTTAACTTCAAATGTTTTATATACACATACATATATTTATTTATTTATTGCAATAAACTTTTAGTCCTCACACCAAAAATAAAGAAGAAAAACAATTTATTGAAATGTTTCGCTCCTGCATTTGTGTTGCTTCTCTTGTTCCACTTTAGCAATGGAGACCTAATATTATGGAACTATTATTATTTTTAAATAAAGACAATTACACATTTATCCATTTTAATTGGAGTGTTTGTAAGATGTTGTTTTAGTATTAGTTTTACATTGGTTTACATCACAAGTGTCAAAATTCCTGGAGGCACAGAGCTCCGCACAGTTTAGTCACAACCCTAATTAAACAAACCTGATCAAACTAATTAAGTCCTTCAGTTTTGTTTAAAACCTACAGTTAAGTGTGTTGAAGCAGGATTGAAACTAAACTGTGCAGAGCTGCGGCCCTCTAGGAGTTTGACACCTATGATTTACATTGTCCAAACCTGCTTAGGCTTTCAAAGCTTTCAAAATTCTCTAAAAAGTTATTTGTATTGTTTTTTTCTGATTGTACGCTAATGCTGTTTATGTATGACTATGGTATTATATTCAAATAATTGTATTTAGATCTATAAATATCTTTAATATCACTATTTTAAACGAACAGTTTGAAAGAACCGATTCGCGGAAATGAATCTACAATCTACATTTTATGTAGTACTCATCTTCAAGGACCTCGAAATTAACGCGATTACGTATATTAGGGAGGGGGAAATGAGATGTTACAGGAAAGACCGTCAGATGGTGCTGTTTAGTTTAGAATCTTTATAAAATCCAGCACAAAAGACAACATTTTGTACTTTAATTTACACATTAAAAAAGGAGTTTGCATGTTCTCCCCGTGTGCGCATGGGTTTCCTTCGGGTGCTCCGGTTTCCCCCACAGTCCAAAGACATGCGGGTATAGGTGAATTGGCTTTAGTGTATGAGTGTGAATGAGTGTGTATGCATACTGGGTAGCAGCTGGAAGGGCATCCGCTATGTAAAACATATGCTGGAATAGTTGGCGGGTCATTCTGCTGTGGCGAACCCAGATATATAAAAGACTATGCTGAAGAAAAATAAATATTAGAAAAAGTATGGTATGCAAATCTATTACAATACAGAATATTCTATTGTGTTTGTAAATAAAATATTAGCTATGGCTGAGTTAATGCAACTAAAATTATTAAAACAAGGAATTAACTAAGCAGGTTTGATAAGCTTACAGATAAGGGGAAAAAGAAGACAAAGAGTTCACAATATCTGTCTTTCCATGTCTTTTCATAGAAAAAAAAAAAAACAGCAGCTAGGATTTACAAATTATTTCACTTCCTTGTTACTAATGATTAACTATTATTAAACTGTCAGGGTAATTTATTGGCTTGAGCTGGCCAAGACGATTGATGTCTTCCACCCCCTTAACGCTTAGATGAATATTTGCTGTAATAATATTTCTATGGTGATATATATTTCTATACTAACATTTCCTGTTATTTCCTGCACAACAGGCTAATAATAATGTCCTTATATGTAACTCATCAGTCAGTTTATAAGATTATATTGCATTGCTCTGCCACATCTGAAATGCCAAGCATCCGCTGTAATGTAATATTTTGTAAAGTCTGTCTCCTTGTTCTGTGAAATGAGCTGTCAGGCCGGATTGACTGGTTCACTGCAGTGATGTATGATGCTTTATGTAAACCATATCTGCTGAGAGAATGACAGTATTAGTGCTTGACCATAAATAAGGGACAACATATGATTAGATTTCAGAGTTACACTTTTTTTTTCTTTTAGTGTGGTTTATTGTGAAAATTTGGGCAATTTTAACATTTCTGGATGTTTTAAATGTTCTGGGGGATTGTTTGGTCACTGTCTTGTCTTTGGTTAATGTTTTGAAGCACTCTAAAGACAATAAACCATTATTTACTGCATGTGTAAAACTGCAGGTGTGGGTGGAAACGGAGGACAGATATACAGGGTGGGCCATTTATATGGATACACCTAAATAAACTTATTGGGATATTCACAAAAAAAATAAAAAATAAATAAAAATTGTGTGCTTGGTTTTAACGTAACTGTGTTCTTTCATGAGTTATTTACAAGCCCCCTCACATATACTAATGTGACACAAACAAGACATTAATATCACCAACCATTGCCATTTTATTAAGATGTATCCATATAAATGGCACACCCTGTGTGTGTGTATATATATATATATATATATATATATATATATATATATATATATATATATATATATATATATGAGTTATTATTGAAAACTAAAATTAAAAACTTAAAAATAGTTTTCTTTACTTTATTTTTCATTCCAGATTCTCAGATTTGTTAGTTAAAGCTAACGTTTAGCAAATATGAGTGAATAAAAACAAAACTTGTAATAAATAAATAAACTTATTTAAACAATAATACGGGCGAGGCAGTGGTGCAGTAGGTATAGTGCTGTCGCCTCACAGCAGGAAGGTCACTGGGTCGCTGGTACGAACCTTGGCTCAGTTGGCGTTTCTGTGTGGAGTTTGCATGTTCTCCCTGCCTTCGCGTGGGTTTCCTCTGGGTGCTCCGGTTTCCCCCACAGTCCAAAGACATGCTGTACAGGTGAATTGGGTAGGCTAAATTGTCTTGTGTATGTGTGTGTGTGTGGATGTTTCCCAGAAATGGGTTGCGGCTGGATAAAAACTTGTTGGATAAATTGGCGGTTCATTCACTGCAGTTTATATTTAAATGATTGATTACAGTAATCCATTTTCCAGACTAAATGCTAACTTTGCTTTGTGTTCCCTGTTTTATAGCTCCGGCCACTAGATGGATCAAATCTCTATCCAAAACAAAACCTCTCCTATGGCTCTCAGTTAATTTCTAATCTGGAGCACATATTTTCAATTCCTTAGCGATTTGTGATGATCTTAAATATCAAACATCGACAATAAATTATAAAAACTTTCCACTTAAACCACTATTTAGTACTTTTTTCAGAAAAAATGAAGCCCTGTGGGTCAATAAATCGACAGTAGTGCATGTACACCTGCAGTCAGAAGGCGTAAACCCAGCCTCTCAGCTCACCAGAGCCAATCAGAAGTTGGATGGATGCTAGAAGGCGGGGTGAAGCCGAGCGGAATGTGAATCTCACACAGACACAGCTTTATTTCGGTTTTCGTGACTGAAGGGACCGGGGATTTAACGGTGTTTCGGATATATTTTGGCTTCAAGTGTACACGCGCAATTGCAATGATCCAGATGTGCTTTTTAAGTAAGTGAATATTTTAGAATTTTATACTGGTTTATTGGTACTCGACTAGTGGAGTTTGACTTGAATACGTTATGATACTTCTGTACGTTATGTGAATCACTTCAGGAGTATTTTGAATAGACATTTAGACGCGTGATGCTTGTTTAACATCAACACAGAAAAAGTTCTGCAACTTTACGAGGTGTATGCAAGTTTTGCGAAGTTTAGAGTTAGTTTTATTTACCTCAAAACTTATATGTCTATTTGAGGATTTTGTCCGGCATTTGATAATGGACTTGATGTGTTTTAATAATGTGTTCAGTATTGCAGTACACTTTAATGTTGATTTATTTATTATTTCTTTGCTTAGCTTTTTTCCACATGTTATATACCATATTGTTAAGCTATTCTTCTGTTAGGGACCATAAAAGGTTTGCATTTTTTGTATAGTCTAATTTATGGTTGGGAGGATTTGTCAAATTGTGTGTGATGGTAATGCCATTTTTCAGTTTTTGTAGAAAAGGTTTTAAACTAGCTGACATAACTAGTTGTCAAATCTAGAGTTCTCTACAATGAAATAAATTGTTTCTGAAATAATAATACTGTCCTCTTTGGCATAAAGCAACATTCAGAAAATAAATTAAAAATCTGATCTTTAAGCTTAATTGATTACTTCTGTTTCTCTGGCAGTTTTCATTTCATCATAACCTTATAGAAAACATTTTTAAAAGTTTGGTTGTTTTTGACATATTTGGTGCTATGATGATAATAGTACTATTACAATTGTAAACTGTACACTTATTTTTTTAATGATAAAGATAATTATAACTTCGATGAGATTTACAGTGCTCGAGTACACCCTATTTTGAAAATGAATATTTTTATTTACATTTACATTTACATTTAGTCATTTAGCAGACGCTTTTATCCAAAGCGACTTACAAATGAGGACAAGGAAGCAATTTACACAACTAAGAGCAACAATGAATAAGTACTAAAGGCAAGTTTCAGGTCTGTAAAGTCTAAGAAGGGAAGTATTAGTAGTATTAGTATTTTTTTTTTTTTTTTTTTGTACAGTTACTGTGATATTCAAAGAGGCAATTGCAGATTAGGAAGTGAAGTGGAGACTAAATAGTTGAGTTTTTAGTCAATTTCTTTGTGAATTTCTTTCTTTGTGAATTTCTTTGTGAATATGGGTAATATATATTGGTGCATTTGAACAAAACAGATTTATTAAACAGATATATTTATTAATATAATATTTTAGTCACAGAAACATCTTTAGAAATGGAAAGATAATACAAATATATTCATGCGAAATATTGCAAAACAAAAATACAAACTACATCATTTTAACAAAATTTTATATATTTTTGTTTCTCTTGATTTTTGCTATTTGTAAAAAAATTATTAAATATTTTTCCCCAACATATGCATTTGGGCTAGTAATGTTTGAATTTATTTTGTCAGATAAGCTCCAGATTTGGCTTCAACACTAACTAAACTATATGCACAAATTAAATATTGTAAAGCATCTTACAGAAAATATGAATTTAAATGAGAGATTTGTGGGGGTGTACTCATATATGCTGAGCACTGTGTATGTTTTAAATGATGGAATACATCTTGTTGACAATTGAGCAAAACCAAGTCGGTTGAAGGATTTTTACAAAGTATAAAAATCTAAATGTGCAATTACTTAGTAATTTAAGCTTTCATTGTCATTCTTTTAATGTGCCATCTAATGATTCTTGATGTAAATACTGTATGCCTGACAAGATTTTTGTTAGTGTGTAAACTGTTTTTACACTGAACACTAAATGACATTTTAGTGTGTGCCCTCTGTATATCATAGAAAAAACATATAATAATATGAACTTTCTAATATGATTTGGGTATCTTTTTCATTTTTGAATGTTCGTACAAAACCCACTGTTGATTTTATAAAAATAGATGTTTTTGACTGTAACTCATCCTAATCTTGTTTTATTTGTTTTGTCATCAATTTTATTTACCTACCGCAGTGTGTGCATTCTTTAAAAGAAAAATGGCAAAATTCCCAAACAAAGATAAAAGCATTCTCAAAGTGTTTTATCTCAAGGGAAGTGAAAACATTGTGAATAAAAAAAATATATATATTTTGACCAAATAATCTTGACTTTCATAAGTATTGTTATACTTTACAGAAGACACAAGAATCATTCTGAACTATTATACTTTGCTACTATCCTTGAAATGACTTGAAGATTTTAATCACTAAAAATGTAGAAAAAAATGGTATATGATACCTTATTATTTAGCATATTTTAATAATAAGGTTAAATAATATAAAATTATAAATAAATAAATTAGAAAATGTAATTAAAATAATAGTATTTTAATAACAAGTCAGAGTAAATATTTAGTTTCATTTTTACTAAAATGTATCCATTGCACTAAATGATGATGGAACATAATTTCCCCCACATTTCAACATTTCGCAAAAGTCATCTCAAACAATTGACACTTTATTTGCATATGCTCTCTATGCTTTTCATGCCTAATTCACACTACAGAATTTTAAGTTAGCAAGCTTGCCGATAGATTGGGCTGTGATCATGGTAAAATCAGCATGTGATTGACGCTCTGCAGTCTTATTTGAAACTACTGAACGACACATCAAAGAAGCTTGCTTGTGCATCGCCACATCTCGTAAACAAAAATCCAATATCTAGCATGTTAAATATTCTGGACCATTCGGCTGACTCGACCCCATGTGGGGTCAGATAAAGTAATGAGCTACAGCCAATGAGAAAGCAAGTCATTGTTTTCACGCAATCAACAGAAATGTTTGATAGGCTAAAATAGTCATCAAAGCACTTGCTTCAACCTGTGTTTATACGTATACGAGAGCATATGAAAACCACATCTATCAGCAGAACTGTGTAGATATATGAGCAAACGAACTTCTAATGGATCAGCTCTCTTAATCGTTTTGAGAGATATTTTAAAAGCTGTGTGTCAGTGATGTCATCATCACATGAGCAGCCAATAGTGTTCTGCTCTGTCTGACTGCTGTGGCCTGATCATTTAATTCGCAGTTTGTGGAGTTTTTGTGTGACAGAGTTGTTGTTATAGTGTGTGACCCCATCTTTTGGATCATTTATGTTGTGTCGCACAGTGAGAACATCATTTATATAACTACCAGAACTGTTATAGTGATCATTCTGACTGTTCTCATATAAGACATCATAATGTCATGACATATTACATTAAAAGCTTCAATTGAGAAATTAAAATAAGCTTTGAATGTTGTCATATTTAATGAAGTCGACTAGTTACTCTTTAAAATATGATCTTTTTGTTAATACAGGCTATACATGTGTAGTTAGGCTACCATAGATATATACACTCGATGTCGCCTGGCCTATTGTTGTCTATTGCAGGGGTTCCCAAACTTTTCAGCCCGCGACCCCCAAAATAACAATGCCAGTGACTCGGGACCCCCAATATCCTCTGAGGTGGTTATAAATACAGAAACCTTGCATGCAATGACGCAGACACACCAATTAAATTTGTGTCAGTGCTTTGAATGTGCCAGAAAGTATAACCTGATGTTATAAAATCAAAATGCATCTGACGCTATTGCTGCCTTTAATATAATGTAATTACCCCAGGGGTCGCAATCCAATAGAACTAGTAACTATAAGCTAACTATATAGTAACTATAAACTACTAGTTTTATTTTCAGTATAGTTATGGATAAAATATGTTAATTCTTATGGTTTCATAAAAATAAATAGATTTTTGGAAATCACCAGACGACCCCCCTTCATTGCCCCCCGACCCCTCGGGGGGTCCCGACCCCCACTTTGAGAACCACTGGTCTATTGGACTGAATGCGTCAATAGCGCCCCCATCTTGCTACAGGGTAGCGCTCCTTTGAAATGAATGCGGGACCAAGGTACAGTGGAGGACTGTGGCCATCCAAAGCCAGAGATATACACATATACACATATATCTATGATCGGGAGTTTTCCTGGATGTTAATGTGTAATTTTTTTTTCTAATTATGAAAATTATAATTTTACATCACTTTTCTACATTGATGGATCAGTGACCGCACGGGCATTCCTGACAAAAAGCTTAATTGTGTTTGTATAGAAATGTACTATTCACCCTCCCTGTTAAATTTGATCTAATCCGTGTCCTGAAACACAGCTCCTCTCCTGCTTTCACTTCTCATACTGACGGAGAGAGCGATTCGTTTGTGAATGAATCCCCCGGACGACTCTTTCACTTACATTAGCCGACAATACAAGTTTCTGGCAACGCAGCATCTCGTTGTCATATTTCTTTTGCATTGTTTGCTGATTTTATTCAACAAAACTAGCATAAGCCGAGTGTTTAGTGCAAGTTGGAGCTGCTTTGCCTTATGATGAATGCAGTGACTGTTATCATCAATAACGTTACCTGATTAGCACAAACGTTCAGAACATACAAAAACAGAAAAAAACTTAATATTACCTATGAAATGTTCTGCCTTTGTGCTTTGATTTCTTTGTTTGCTCGTTACTACACCTGTATACAGCGCTAAAGTCCCGCATCTTCACGTAATAACACTGTCTTGACTAGTGCGGTTGAATGACATTTGTCCTTGGAGCACTGTACCAATGTGGCGGCGCTATTGACGCATGCTGAGGGTCCCTATGCGATATCTAGTGTATATATCTATGTTAGGCTACTAGACTGATTGCATTTTCACTTTCACAAGCAGGGGAGAAGGCTTTTTTGCAGCACTGAATACACTGCTTTGAAAGACATATCTAAAGTAAAGTTATGTTTTTGCTATCAGAATGTTATGTTTGCGTCAGCAGGAACTTGCTAGGCAACAGAGGCATGCATATTCAAAGCCTCAGGGTACAGTTCAGGGTAGAAATAGTCATAGTTCTTTTGTTTTGTAATTTTAATAACATAAAATACTCATATTTATGAAAAGTCAGGGTATTATTGATATGTGGGGTTTATTTCAACAAAGTTTTTAAGTTACAAAAATTAAATACAATCAAAATGACCGCCTTAGTAGTTCTTGTGTTAAAGAAACAAAATCAAGGCATGAACGGCACAGCAAACTGCCGATGTTTAAAGTAGTGTGAACAAGGCTTTACTGAAATCAAACTCTTCCAAAGCCTCAGGTCGCAGTCACATTATGCCTTTAAGATCCCTGTAACTTATATCCCTGTCTCAAAATATATCCCACCATATCCCATTTGGTCTGTTTGAGGGTTTCTTTTATTTGAGATGTAAATCGTCGTTGAGGCTGAGTGAAGGCTAAAGCAATTTGGTGTGTAAGACATCCCTATTAGAGCCCGTCTTAAATTTCTCCCTTGCGCATGTGTGATAAAGTCTAGCAAATAGAAGTGTTCTTGTCTTCAAACATTGGAGGTTTAACCATACGTTGCGTCCATTGTGCACACAGGACCCGCTGTCATTGGTAAGGAAACTCTTGAAATTTGAGAGTCTCCAGGGATCGTCGTTCTGGGACCTTTTTCAAGCTGGCCGCGGCTGGGATGTTTGCTGCTGGGATGCTGCAGCAGAGCAGCGGAGGACTAAACAAGCGATCGCTGGGAATGGCACGGATTCCCGATTCTCGCTTTTTTCCTCTTTCCTCGGGCTCGGGGTCGTGGGGTTTGAGCCGGGCTGTGAAGAGTGGCTCTTTGAGCTCCATCAGCTCAGGGTCGGACAATATGGACAATATGATGGGAGCCGATCCCGACTACATCATGCAACTGGTCAACGATGTCCGGAGGTTTGCAGATGTACTTCTCCACCTTAAGGAAGCGTTTAACACCAAAGGTAAGGTGAAATGAGTTTGTTCTTGTCAGAGTTTCAGACTGCTGTGGGTCAAAGCTGGCCTTGGGTTCATGGTCATCAACCTCGCTTTATCTTTCATCAACAGTGTGAGTTCATCCAACAATGGCACCAATGTTAAATACATATAAAGCCTTAGTCGGAAATGACTTTGTCTTTATTTAGAAAGGTTAACACTTTACTGGAGCCAAAGAAAAGACATTCAAGCGGTTTTTAATGAAATATGTGGTAACAGTTTGTAGTAAGGTTGTATTAGTTCATGTTTTAAAAATGAACAGTGCATTTGTTACAGTAGTTATTCAACTTCATCAAAGTCTATAATATATACCAGGGGTTTTCAACCTATTAGGACACATGCTCCCCCAAGTTTGGCCAATTTCACTCATGTCCCCCCAACCCCTCTCACCCCCAACACTCCCCATTTACATATTACTTGCTGTGTTTAAAGTAAAGCATTAATTACATTGAAACATAAATGTACAGCTTACCTGATTCTGTGTGATCGTTGAGCCTGTTTCTGTGAGGACAACATGGTTGAATTCCTGACACGACTAACCGTAAATCTTCTTCCACTGTCAATAAGTGTGAGCCATCGCATACTTGCTTTTGATGTCCGTACATACTAGGGATGGGAAGATTAACCGATATGTATCAATACGCGGTCATGCGCGTGCACGATGCGAGTGCATCGGTAGAGCAGCAGAGGATGAATGAAATTTTGGAAGCAAATCGAGATGCATCGGTTTTTGCGAGATGCATCGGTTTTTCCAAGATACAACTTATATTTTTAATATAGAATGTATTTTTTATTTATTAACAAGTGTTGTCAACCTGTTTTTGGCGCATAATTTAATCAACCTACATAAAGTATGCCTTAGCAACGGACTTGCGGATGTGTATACTTACACTACAACTCAGTGTATCAGGTGTGCGGATGAAGCTAGTGGTAAAGCGCAAGAAGCAAAACAAACATTTTATTCCTCACTGAGTTTTAAATCTAAAGTATGGCAACATTATGGATTCTGCAAAAAGGATGGACGACTTGACAGGACAGATACAATTTGCAAAATGTGCCGCGCATCTGTAAAATACACGGGCAGTACGACTAATCTGATATCTCACTTGAAGCGGCGCCTCAGTGTTGTTGTGGAAGCATCTTCCAGTGTTCCTGCATCCCCGGCTTTCGCACTGCTTCAACTGTAGCTACCAGCTCCAAAAGTGATGAGAAAAGCGTTGAAAGTTTTCTCCATGCGCAACAGTTCTGCTCGCTCTACGCCAATAACGAATGCCATTGCATTGTTCATCTGCAAAGATATTCAGCCTAGTGTCACGGAGAACGACGGTTTTAAACACCTCCTCCTGTTAATTTTTATTTATTTATATTTTTATTAGCCTGTTGTTTACAGTGACAGTGATGTTTCAAAGCAACATAACACTGCTAGTTCACGACCTTAAGTTTTGAATATTCAGTGGCATAATATATCTTTGTAAAACTTGTTTTCATAGTTGAAAAGTTAAATCACAATTCTTGTTGTGCAATGGTAAACCTTTATGTTGAAAGAGTGCAAATATACCTTTATAATATATATTGCACTTATACATTCTGTTTATCTTGAAAATACTTAAATAATATGTGCTATAGGTTCTAAAATAGCCCTCTACTGTAGACTGACACTCTGGCTCTGAGAGAAAAGCCAGTTTGTAAAAAAAGTCTTGGTTTTACTTGGTTAATAAATAATCAAACTCATTCAATGGCACTGCATCCTTTCTTACATCGTATCATAAACTTGATCTAATAAGTTAGTGCTGAATTATCGCATTGTATCGTGATATGGGTGTAAATCGTATCGTATTGCATCGCAATGTCACAAATGTATCGCTAATATATCGGATCGTATTCTTTGTATCGAGATGCGTATCAGATCGGCATTATAGCTTAGATGCCCAACCCTAGTACATACAGAAAATGCTGCCTCGCAAAGCCAAGTTCGCAGAACCCTGACGGTGTGGTTGGATGGAACATTGAGTACGTTTACATGGACACCAGTACTTTGATTTTAATACAATTAAGACAATACTTTGATTAAGAGTCACCATGTAAACAGCAATTTTTGATTACCTTAATCTGACTAAAGTCATAATCGGACTAAACGGAAATGGAATTAAGAAGTGGAGCATGCATATATTAGTGGCATTATTGAATAATAAACTATTTTCCGAAAAGATCCACACACACGGCTGTCAGTAAAGGGCCGCACACACGCATTACGCAACATGCGGAAGTTTTTTTTCTTTCTATTCGGCGTGCGTTATTAAATTCCATAACACTCTCACCAGTCCTTACTCCTTATTTGCATCTCACAACCCCAGTTTGTCATCCAGAAGGGCATCCTGCTGATTTGATTCAGAAAAGCACTTTTTTGTCATATGGCTCACCAGTTTTACTTTCATTCACCTTCATTAATTTTTAAAAGCACCCGGTCCATTTTATTCGTATATGTATTACTCGAACACATTAACTCTACAGGTGCCTGATAGCTAGATGTGGAGCTAACAATAATCAGATTTAATCTAGGGAAAGCTCAAAAATGGTCATCATAATTTACTCAAGTGCACGCCTTAATGTCTTGCGCCCCTACTGATACTAGTTTTGTAAATGTGTTATGTTTTTTTTTTTTTATATAAATTCATTATCATATGTATATGTAAAGGATAATCAATGGATTATCCACTTCACAATGGTCAGTTAATAGCAAGCCGTTGTAGAGAAGTTAAAACTCTTGCTCTTTGCAGCTCAGTATTGGACCAACCAAATTATCATCAGTTATATCATGACAGTTTAGATGAATTCACTTTGAATCAGTCACAGGCAAATATAAAAAGTTTGGGCATGGGATGGATTGTGTGTGAGTGCTTAATGACAAGGGCATACCTCTTTACAAATGTTTTTGACCATATTTGCGAGTTGGCAAATCATCTGCTCTCTGGCGAAGCACACAATGGTGTAATTTAGAATTGACACAGTAATGAAGGCTCCGGCTACTGTCACTGAGATACAGGGCTTACTACTAATGTTCAAGGGAAGCGCATTTATTTTGAATAGTGATTAAAAATGACTGGAACTACCTGTGCATTAAACAATGTTATTTCTTACCTTCCAGCCAATCAGAATCAAGAATTTAACAGACAATAGAATAGTAACTGGCTAAAATGTCAATAATAAAATACAAATCTATTAATTATATAATAATAATAATAATACATTAATAAACAATTTAATATTATTATTTTATTATTATTATTATTAGTATTATTTAAATATTACTACTATTTTATTATTATTATTATTATTATTATTATTTAAATATTACTACTATTTTTCTTTTATTATTATTATTATTATTATTATTATTAATAATAATAATAATAATAATAATAATAATAATAATAATAATAATAATAATAACAATAACAATAATAATTAGAATATTAATATGTCCAGGTCTCTCCTTTATCACCAATTGGTCAGACGAACAGATGATCCCACTTCAAACTTGTGCTATTGGTTGATTCAATGTTGTAATATATAAGGTTAAAGGCTTAATTATCGATATGATTTACTGTATATGTGAAATAATCACATCTTCCTTAGGAGTGGAAATATTTAATCAATTCATCCTTCTATTGTCAATAAGCCTTTCCTTTATACTCCGTAATCTTAAATGAAGTGTATTAAAACAGAAAGAAATGTTTTTATGATCGAGCAGTGAATGTAGATTAGCGGGATGATTGCTCTTGCATGTGCGATTACCGCATTCCCAAGGCAGTGGTGTTTGAGTCCGTTTGGACGGGATCCAGTGCGCTAATCCTTGCCTTTGCTTCAGTCAGGAGGGCCGGCTCTGTGTGTGTGTGTATATGTGGTGGGGGGTGTTTCCAGCCTCCCATTGTGTCTGTGCCATGTTGTCCAGGGTCTGTAGGAATCTCTTCTTTTGTTCGGCGGGGTGATGGAGGGTCCTTGACCCCAGCTGGGTAGCAGAGTAACTCTGAGAGCTGCCAGTGTGTGACCACTGCTTTTGGCCTCCAGGTCTCCCATTCCTGCAGCTTTGGGCCTTGATCAGCATGAGCGGCAGTTTAGTTGATGTTTATAGTATAGTGCTTTTTAATGATGCAAATCTTTTTAAAAGAAGCTTTACAGAAAGAAAGCTTGATTCTACTTAAAAATTTAAATTTGTAATATGGTTATTATCTAATGATGATGGGGGTGCTGAATTGTTGGACCCCAGAGGTGGTGATGCTGGATTTCAAAACATTTGTAAGGTTTTTGTCCTTTAGTTCCTTACGCATCTCATCCAAAGCCTTCTGTTTTGTTTGATCAGATTTTTTGACTGCTGTAGGTTGTGAACAACTGCAATCATTCAGTGTTGTGATATTGAACTGTAATGTGGTTTAAAGTCCACATGAACCAGAAGTTGTTGTCTGATCCGACTGAAACAGAATATTGAGTAGGGGGCGGGGCTTTCTTTTTGCACATCATTCACAGGTAGCAAACTAATGTTAAAAGGGGCGTGGGTAAGACTATTGTGTATCAAGTAGGGTTGTCACAATACTGCAATTTGGTACCAATTAGGGGTGTAACGATACACAAAAGGCACGGTTCGGTTCACGGTTTTGGAGCCACGGTTCGGTTCGGTACGGTTCGGTGTCTGTTTGCTGTGGTTAGGGTTGATGTCATGTTAACAGCAATGCAATTCACTTAATAACAAGAACATTTTACCTTTTTCTTTATTAACTTTGTCATCGCATTTTAAGTACAGTCAAGATACCCGAGTAAACAACTAGAATTAAATAAATGCCTCCAATATAGACTAGTCAGAAAAAACTATTCTCTTTAGTGCAGCCATCTTAACTAAGTAAACTAAAATTAAATAAATAACTGCAGTGTAGACTAGTGAAAGATCTTCTTCAAAAACACCATAATATCCACA